CCCCAAAACCCCAAAACCCCAAAACCCCAGCAAGAGAATAAGTTTATTTTATAGAAAGGGATATTACTAAGATTAATAATTATAATTAACAAATGAACACTCTTCTAAAAATTTTAAAACTCCCCGTTATTGAAGTCCTTTTCTTCAAAAAAGCTAGTTCAAATGTTGTTCAATTCTTCATAACCAAACTTATCCAATTCATCCTGACCAAGGTAAATAATCTTAGATCCCTTTCCTATTCATTTTGAAATTTATCGCTAATAATTTCAAATATTTGACAATGGTTTTTAATATTTTTCATGTAGTATAAAGTTATCAAATTGAAATAACAGCTTTCAAATGCACAGTCTTTTGAAGAATGGATGATGCTGGCTTAATCTTTAGATCAACTAGAGGAAAAAGATAAATGGAAGAAAAACCCAGTTTCTAGTCTCTATGATTATTAGAGAATCGACATGAGATATAGAAATATGAAACAAATGAGAGAAAATTAGGATATTCGTGGTTTGGTCTAGTGCTTAAGACAAGACCTTTTGAAGAACTTGGGAGGAATAGCCTCTCCTGATCTGTACAACTAATGTCATATCGGAACCAAAATGCTGATCGAAAAATATCATAACGAAGTCATAGAATGTATCAGGTTCATTTACTACTACAAAGGCCATTGATTGTCACTTCAGCAAAAACTTGAATTTTTTGCTGAGACTAGGCATTCCTATGGAAGAAGTGCTCTCCTACTAAGTGGTAAATCATTCCAGGGTTAAATCCTTATTTAGGTGGAGCAACTTTTGGCAGATTTCATATTGGAGTTATAAGGGCATTATATGATTAGGATTTATTGCCAAGAATAATATGTGGATCATCAGTTGGAAGTATTATTGGTTCTTTTATTTGCTCATAGAAATACGAAGACTTGCCTAAGGTATGTATATATTCCATCATTTTTAATTGCCTTCACTCTCTAATGATCCTGGGGAGATTTATCATATGTATTTTACTCTTACAAATAATTTTAGATTCTTGAAATGGATTAATACCTTGATAATCCACTTTTGAAATGGAAAACTGAATCAATTAGGGAAATATTTTTGAGCTTTCTCTAAGGAAAGTCTATCTTAGATACTTTGCATTTAAAAAGGGTGGTAAAAGATGTTCTAGGAGATCTAACCTTCAAAGAAATCCATGATATCAATAAGTGGAACCTGAATATAACGGTAACTGATGCTAGTAAGACTGATGAATCAAGACTACTTAATTACCTAACATCTCCAAATGTGATTGTATGGTCAGCTGTACTTGCATCGAGTGCGATCCCAGGCTTTTTCGATCCTATTGAATTAATGGTTAAATCTGAAGTGACTGGTGAGATTAGACCATATCATCCAGGAGTAACACCAACATATTATGTTGATGGATCTATCGGTAGGGATTTACCTATGTAAAGAATGAGTGAACTATTCAATGTCAATACATTTATTGTGTCTCAAGTCAATCCCCATGTTGTCCCGTTTGTAGCTCATGATGGTGGTGGAATTCTAGACTCTAAAATCAGAAGGTAATTTACTGTTACACTTAAAGCTATGATTGGCAATGAAATCAGGCATATTCTTGACTAGCTATATACAATCGGTGCGATGCCACCAGCTATTTAAAGAATGACGAATATTGTCTTCCAATCTTATAAGGGTCACGTTACTATAGTACCATAAACAAGGTTTAGAGATTACAAAAATATTCTTATCAATCCTAATAAAGATGACTATGAATTAGCTATCTAGTAGTCTTACAATAGCACACTTCAAAGTAAAATTTAAGCATAAAATATTTTTTATTAATAGAAATCTCTTTGGTAAGAGCTGTATATGGAGTTGAAAGAGAATTTGATAGATACTATATGAGACTCAAATAAATGCTTAAAAATGGTACAAGCAGCTTTGTTAATGATAAAAATATGATTGATTATGCAGTAAAGAGAACATTTAACAGAGAGAATGCTTGGGATCCCTAGGATCATGAGTTTGAATAAGTTGAATCTGGTCACAACGATTTGATTTGCTATATCTCAAAGAAGCATAGGAATACAATAGATGTCGGTATGATGATGTAGGTACTGGGTAGTCATAATGATCCAAATTAGTATAAAGAAGATTTGCTTTAGGAAGATATTTAAATTGATGACAATATCAAGAAGTATTATTACTATGGAGGTATTCAGAACAAAAAGGATTCTAAACCTTAAATCAATAAGACATTCAAGAGGATTGATTCAATAGCAACCATTATGAGTGCTCATAGTTAAGAATTTTTTGGTTCAGAAGCTGATCAAGAAGATTAACTCATGATGGAATAAGCAAATGCCAAAGAAGTATAATAATAGATTAATCAAGCAACAAACAGCAATTATGACTAAAATGATAGATTACTTAAAGGTAGGAAAGTATCATTTGATTTAGGTAATAGTATTTAAACAAAAGAAAACTTGCAAAAGAAGCTGTTTGGAATAAGAAAAAATGACTCTTTATTCCTTTTAGATAGAGAAATTCTTCATTGATATTAAACCTCTATTATAATTTTAGTATCAAACAACATAATCTTAAATAATAACTTAACATAATATTAATAATTTTATATTAATGATAATTATCAAGAGCAAAATTTTTTAGCCTCTACTTTAAATTAAACTTCTTAAGAAAATAAATCTTATCACTTATCACTTATCTCACTGATTGTTATTAAAACTACTTTAGCAAGCTAAAGATCTATAATTGTATACATTTCCTCAAGATATAATCTCAAACTCTCCAATTGAGGTGTGCTATTTCATGTCTCTGTCTCTTTGAAATCCATTACTTGAATGTTTCGATTGTTGCTATTATTACAGAATAAAATCAGTGTTATAAATCATTTTGTCCTACTAGCTGCTTTCCCTGCTTCCTGGATCTATAATCATCAGATATTAGAATCTCACAGATAGCTTACACTTATAATGAATACTTTCCACTGCTTATGGCTGAATGTGTTACATTCCTGGCTAGATGAAATTATTTTAACTACCAATTACTGCATTTGGATTTCCCTAAAATACATTTTACTGCTGAGTATCTATATTCTATTAAGGATAAGATTGCTGCTGTTGAATCTAGGTTAAGGCTGTGCCGTGATTAATTTTTTCTTTCTCCTCATTAAAGAGTACCTCCAAAGATTAGAGTCGAAGCCAATTAAATTCTTAAATGATTTCTTGGTATTATGTGAGTTCAAAGAATTACTAGGCATAATCAGCTAATCTGTAAGCTTCTCTAGCGTTGATGGGACTATCATGAGCTCTTTTGTTCCTGATTTCCTTGATGTTTAACAGCGTAGTCTTGGCTTTAGGACTGGGGAAATCTTCAGCTATAGAATAATCTTTTTAAGATTAAAGAATTTGTACAGAAAATTTCTTCATAATGGTCATAAAAGATGTTGATTAGGACTGAAAGATCCCAGAGTTGAGGATTGTCATGAATCTTATATTTAACAAATCTTTTCTAGTTTGCTTTCTCTATCCCTTGCATAGAATCTGGAGGACCTCCCATTTTAGCTGATGCGATATATTAATCTCCATACTCTAAAAGGAAAAATTCAGTCAGAGGATGCATAATTTTTTGTTGGAATTTTAAATTTCAAACTCGCAAATAATTACTTTACTAAAGTTTAAAGGTAATGTATGATCTGAGTTTCTCGACAAATGCATCCAGGATCTTGCTTACCATAGCTCTAGATTATTCCTGAATTTGTTGTAGAATATTTTGAGGATTGATGACCGCAGTTTGCATTTTTCAGCAGATAAATTATTATTTACTTATAAATTTTTAGCATTTTAAACAAAATTTACTTCTTGGGGTTTTGGGGTTTTGGGGTTTTGGGGTTTTGGGGTTTTGGGGTTTTGG